GAGGATGGCGGTGCCGGCCCGGCGAAGCGTCGTGTTCGTGACGGGCAATGCCAAGAAACTGGAGGAGGTGGGAGGGGGCGGTTGCGTGGCAACGCGCGGCGACGGCCTGCCCTGGCCTGGCGGGACCGCACCGGGGCCTGACGGGCGGGTTTCCCTCCCTTCTCCCTCCGCAGGTCACTCAGATCCTGGGGGACTCCTCTCCCTACACGCTGGTGGCGAAAAAAATTGACCGTAAGTCGGCGGCGGGTCCCGGGGGGACGCGGTGGCGCGGCCCAGCCCGGGGGTCTCCTCAGCGCTGGCCTTTGTATCCCCAGTGCCGGAGTACCAGGGGGAGCCGGACGACATCTCCGTGCAGAAGTGCCGTGAAGCCGCCCGGCAGGTCGATTGCTTTCTCCTTTCCCTTTCCCGCCGGTTGGAGCGGTGGTGTGGGTGCGGGAGCTCCAGAGCAGCCCAGCTCCGGCGGGGTGGGAGGCAGATGGGGGCATCGGGGCTTCCGATCCAGCCTCGAGGAAAGTCAGGGTCACATCCGGGCCTGGCCTAGCCTCGCTGCACTCCCATCACCCGGCTGTTCCTGGCCGGTGATGGGGAATTCTCACGGGTTGCACAGCGCTCCTCTGGCCTCAAGCAGCAGAAGGACATGACAGCTCCTTCAGTCCAGATCTGTCAGTTGTGGGACAGTGAGTTTTCTGTCAGCTGGCGGTTCTCATGGATCACCTTCCAGAGCTGTTTCTGGGATGGCTGTCCTAAAATAACCAAATGAGGATTTGGACTCAAGGAAAATGCAGGCATGCCTCCAGGACACAGGCTTTCCCTCTCCTTGTCCCACCATTCCTGCCCACCAAGAGGGCAGGGGTGTTCATTTCTGTTCAGTTTTCTCCATGGAAGATCTTACCCACCATGCTTCTGCCACTCCTGCCTACCTGGGGAGAGCACGGGTTTGGTTGTGTCTGTCTGCTGTGGATTGCCTCTGAAGTGAAGAGCTCTAGTGACTCTGGATTTTTGTAATGTTCCTGTTACTGTGGAATCATAGCAATAGAATAGCGCAAGAAGCTGAGTTTGGAGGCAGTGCCGCCTTCTAGGTCTAATCTTTCCATTTCTTGGGCTTTTGCTGTAGGTTCAGGGACCTGTTATAGTAGAGGATACCTGCTTGTGCTTCAATGCCCTGGGAGGACTTCCAGGACCCTACATGTGAGTAGGAGGGAACTTGCTTCACTCTTCATGTCCTAGACTTAATAGCACAGACTGGCAGGGTGTGATTCACGGGGGATTCTCCAGGCACCAGTAGGGTCAGGGAGGTGATTACTGGTCTGGTCCTTGGCTTCATCCTGCACCCCAGGGGCTGGACTTAACTCCTTGAGTCCTGCTGTAAATCATCGTGTAGGACAACACAGACAGACCTGAATTATTGGCTCTGGCTGCTTATCTGTGGTGCCTGCTCTTGCAGGCAGCTTGGGAACCGGGCTCCACAGCAGGCTCTGCATAGTTAAGGCACTGTGTGTTTCAGCAGGACTGTTGGATGAGTGACTTAAAGGTTCTCACAGGGACTGCTTTAATCCAGCTAATAACAAGATTATTACATTGCAGTATAACTCCTCTAATAAAATACTTCCTTAGCTCCTGGAATTAACTTTTAGTGTGATTAATTCTTCCAAACTATCTTTGCTGAGCTAAGCAGAGACATAAAAGCTTTATATGTTGAAGTTGGCATTAGAACTGAGTGTAAGATGTGGACAAGTTGAGTCAAGAAATGTATTTCAGCATGTCATTGCCCGCGAGTAGGAACTAGGTTGTTTACATAGACCCCAGTAATGCAGTAAATTAAATACCATGCTGTTATTTTCACTCAATTTAAGAGCTGTTTGTCTTCGTTAGTAAATAGCCTAGAACAAGGTGATTTGACAGCACATTTAAAGGGCTACGGAAGTGTAGACAACAATGTCTTAAGGATGCCTGTATTTCTGAGAAATACAGCAAGTAATGGCAAAAACTCATCTTCCCTCTTTTCTTCCCTTTCAGAAAATGGTTCCTGGAAAAACTCAAACCAGAAGGTACTGCCTCCCATGTTACTGCTCTGCATGTAACTCGGTTCTTTCCAGGATCCCTGCCTGTGCTGGGTTCTGCTGAACGTGTTTGCCCACTACGCCACCCATTTAATAGCTGTTTTTTTTCCTGTCTGTCCAGCTCTGACCTCTCGTGTTCTCTTTTTGAGCCTGGTCTGTGCCCTTCATGGGATGTTGCTTTGCCTCGGTAGCTTCAACATCATCCCTGCATCCCCAGTTTCCCAGACTCCTGCCTCTGCAGGCTGGTGGCAGGGCTTGTGGGAACTTCTTCCTGTCATCAGTGTGACCTGGAAGACCTGCTGCTCCCTTTGGCTTTTGTGCAAGCGCCTCTCTGCTAGTGCTCACGTCCCCTGGTGTGCAGTGACTGCCTTTGATATCTCAGTTAAGAGTGCAACTGCAAATCCCTCACTGGCATCACGAGCATGAGTGTTAATCATGCTAATTCAGAGTGGGTTTTAGTCCTCTATGGTGCTGCACACTCATTTGCTTCCACTCCCAAATTAATAGTGGGGACCTGCAGCTAACGCATTGTTAGGTCTGATCCCCTTCATACAAGGGACTGGGCCAAAAGCACCTTGTGCCTGAGCCTTGTCACCTCCCATAGTTCTTCCTCTCCCTCGTGGGTGCAAAGGCACCCTTCATCCGTCTCTAGGTGGGTGTGTTGTGCTCCCAGGAAAAGGCAGTAATGCCGGGATCCTTTCTGTGTCTCTCAGGCCTGTACAAGCTGCTGGCTGGGTTTGAAGACAAATCTGCCTACGCACTCTGTACCTTTGCCTTCAGTACTGGAAACCCAGAGGAGCCAGTGAAACTGTTCAAAGGGCAGACTCATGTAGGTGTTGTGCCTGGGGAAGGGAACATGCTGAGGGGGAGGGCTGTAATGTGAAGTTTGTAACAGCATTGGATCTGAGGACAGTTTTAGTGGTCCCTGGGTCACTGAACACCCTTGGAGCTTCTCTGTGTTGGGCACAGGCTGAGGAAGAGCACAGCTGGTGGGTGGTGGGTGCTGAACGCTGCAACCATTTTGCCCAGCTATATGTACCGAATGCTTTGCCTGTTACCTCAGGCTCCTCAGCCCTCTCCCCCTCTGGCAGGGTTGGATTTGAGTGCAGTTGTTAGCTATGTTAATTGGGGAGGTAAAGGGGCTTTAAGCATAGGGCAGCATGATGGAGCACTGAGTTTGGAGCTGCTGACTTTGGTCATGCCCTGAGAATGAGGACAGCACCACGCAGAGCCTGTGGTGGCCACAGCGCAAGCCAGAACTGCATATAGCTCTTTAGTCTCTCTCTGAAATGTGACTGCGAGGGAAGCGCTACAGAACTGTGGTTTATGGTGTTTCTTTCTTGTGGCAGGGGATGATAGTAGAGCCCAGAGGCCCTCGAGATTTTGGCTGGGATCCCTGTTTTCAGCCCGATGGCTACAACCAGACGTAAGTGGTGTTTTACCTACAGCTCTTTACGTAAGGAAATTTAGGGTCAGGGTTGTCTGTCAAGAGAAAGGATGGCAGGGCGAAAACACCCTCGTGGATCTGAATGTGGTGGGTGTCGGGGACCCTCCGGGTCAGGGTGGGGGTTTCTGGCCGCTGCAGTCGAGCAGGGAGACAGTGAGCAGAGGGCGAGCTCTCGGTGACTGTGGGACGTGTGCTGTAGTGTCTCTGCTGCTGAGACTTAAGGTTTCTCCCCCCTCCAGCTACGCCGAACTGCCCAAGGCAGTGAAGAACTCGATCTCACACCGTTACAGGGCGCTGAGCGAGCTCTCCGCCTTCTTTCTTCAGAGCAACTCGACAGAGCCCCGCTCCTGTCTCAGCTAACCTCCCTGGGCCACAGGCACCGAGTGTTGTCCGTGTCGCACGCCACCCCGGGAGAGCTCAGCGCTGCTGCGGACTGCCATTAAAGCTGATCCTTTTGAAACCACTGCTACCGTTCCCCTCCCCCATCCTGTTGTTGCTTCAGAAGCGCTGTATAGCCCAGCAGCTCTGGATTATTTAGAGTGCACGTCTGTGCCCCGCGGGGGGCTTGCAAGGCCCGGGGCGGGGGGCGGCCTGGGCATTCCTTGCCGCCCTCTCCGCCTGGGGAAATGGCTGAGACCGCGGTGGTAGCGGGGGCTGCGCGGAGCGCCTCGGCCCGCCCGGGCCCGGCGGGGGCATGGCCAGCTAGCCAATGGGAAGTGGCCGGTGGGAGGGGCAGCC